GGAGAAGTCAAATAGAGTAAGAACAGGAAAGTGATTTGGGGATTTGGCAACCTGGGAATGATTGGTACCTTTGAGAAGAGCAGTTTCAGCCGAATGATGGGGCAGAAACCTGACAGGAGGGATTCAGGAAACAACAGAAGATACAAACATGTGAGCGAGGTAAGAGGAGTGAGTTTTCATCTCTGAAGCTACGTGCACATTTAAGGACTCAAATGTTTACAAGACATTATTTAGATCACTTTTACTTCATATGATGCATTAAAGCTCGCAGCATATAAAATAAAAACTAAATTTTTCAGAGCAGTGGACTAAGAACTAAAATAGGATTTCGTGAGAGAATGGATTTTTCCACTGCATTTGTCCAAGAACCTTCAACCACAAGTGTAGAAAATCTTTGGGACATTATCCCTGTCACTGTTTCCGCTGTCATATTAGTTAAAGTAGAGCCATGTCATTTCTGTTCCCCTGCCCTTTGTCCTCATGGTCTTCAACCTCTTTTTAGGACCCTTGAGATCTATATCTTAGCTTTTGGCCAGGAAATAACAAAACCTTTTTCTCCCTACCTGTTCAGGCCTCCCTACTTATTTCAAAACTAGGAATTACTCAGGCAAAAGGACTTGTGATCTCTAAAAATGTTTAATGATAGAGTCTTGGGACCCATGGGTGACTAAAGACTGGGACAGGGAGCAACTCCTATTCTTCCTAACTAATGAATAGGCTGGGGTTTTGCCAGTCAATTCTCAGCCATAATCATCAGTAAAGTAACTTCCTAAATTCCAAGCAGCAATCTCAGGCTGGGGTCATATTTCAAATGTAGAAGATTGGATGGTGGGGGCGGAGGTGGTAAATTAAAGTAGGAGTCCTTTATTTTCTAAACCTTTGGCAAAGCGAGTGAGATATATATACATTTTTTTTTTAACTTAAGGTGCGGGAAACATTTTGGAGACATTTGAGTAGATTAACAAATAGTATTTGTATATACATAACCAAAACAGTAATTTATCAGGTAGAAGG